TTGTCCTTGGCTCCTGCCTCTTATTATCTTAGCACTCTGAAGACTGGGGCAGGGGGCTGGAGAGATGGCTCAGAGGTTAAGAGCACTGGCTGCTCTTCCAGAGGTCCTGAGTTCAATTCCCAGCAACCACATGGTGGCTCATAACCATTTGTAATGAAATCTGGCGCCCTCCTCTGGCGTGTGGGCATACATCGAGGCAGAATGTTGTATACATAATAAATAAGTAAATATTAAAAAAAAAAGACTGGGGCAGAAGGGTATCTATCAAGTCTCAAAATTTGAGTCTATAATGGACGATAGACAGAGATCCTATCTGCACCACCACCCCCCAATAAAGAGAAGGAAAGAAAGAGAAAAAGGCAAAGCTGTCTGTAGGCCCAGCAGAGGCAGAACATCCTACATGCTGGTCTACCGTCATACCTGTAGCTCTCACTGCTCATCAAAGAAGTTTCTTTTTCCAACAGAAGGAGACTATTACAGAGCTCCACAACTGGCCAGAGTGCAGTGCAGAGGATAGTGACAGTGGGGTGCCCAATCCCACCTGACACACCTCCAACACAACCCCTACCCCTACGGCTCAGGGAACTTCATGAAGGGGAGGGGTTGTAAAGATTGGAAGAGCCAGAAGGCTGTGCAGCTGCTGTGCAGTCATATATACACCCTTCCACTTCCAACAATACTGTTGCCTGGACAGAACCAGCAAAATGACATGAACTGACACACCGACGTGGCGTGTGGAGATTCCACATGGCCCTGACCCTAGATGGAGAACTGCGGGTGGCCGGTGGCTGTGGAAAGAGGGAGTCAATTTCCTCCAGGGATGAACTCCCATGGAGGCTGTTCAAGCCCATTGGTCAGCCCTGGGAACATGCGCATGGGGCAAAGGAAATGGATTCAGTAGGCTGTGATTGTGCGGACACAAGGAACAGATGGGTAGGCTAGAGATTTCTCCTGCTCTGGAAGAGACTGACAGTTTCCCTCTCATTTTCTCCTTTTTTAAGACTTTTACATTTTATGTGTATGAGTGTTTTGCCTTCATGTATGCTTGTGAACCTTGTGCGTTTTCTGGCACTCTGAGATCAGAAGATGATGTCAGCTCCCCTGAAACTGGAGTTACAGATAACCATCTGTAACTGTGGGCATTGGGAATCAAACCTGGTCTTCTGAAAGAGCAACAGGTGCTCTTAACCTCTGAGCCATTGCTCCATCCCGAAATTTCCCTTCTATAGGGTGACATGAAAGTGAGCCAGGAGGGGTCTCAGTTCTGTTTTTAAACATTTACTTATCCATTGTATGTGTGTGCATGCCCATGCCTCAGTGTCAGGGTGCACGTGTGGAGGTCAGAGCCCTTTACCACGTGGTTTCTGGGGGCTGAACTCAGGTCATCAGGCTTAGCAGCAAACGTCTCCACCCGCTGAGCTGGCTCTCCAGCCCCTCCCCCGCCAGAGTTCTCAGTCTTCATTCCCACTGCAGTCCCTTCTCTATTAAGATGATTTGTTTGCTTGCACAGGGTTCTCAGCCTGTGGTCTGAGGGCCACTGGGATCCTGGAGACTTCTTCAGGGGGGTCTGTGAGGCCCTCCCTTTCCCAACTTCATATCCATGTGAGGACAGATTGTGTTCATATAATGCAACCAGAATGTCATGTGCAATTAGAGCCAATGCAGATATGAGAACCCAGCTGTCTTTGATTAAGTGCAGCACCAAGATTTACAGAACCACAAAACGATCCCAGTCTCCCAGTCTTCTCGAGTTTTTTTTTTTTTTTTTTTTTTAAAGCATATGCTGGACATATTAATACATAATACATGCTGGTGGTGTGTATGAGAGGTGGAAGCAGGAGGATTGGGAATTTTAGGCTAGCCTCAGCTAAACGGTGAATTTGAGGCCAGCAGGGCTACACGAGACTGTGTCTCAAAAAACTCAAAAAAGAATTTCCCGGGCTGGAGAGATGGCTCAGTGGTTAAGAGCATTGCCTGCTCTTCCAAAGGTCCTGAGTTCAATTCCAGGCAACCACATGGTGGCTCACAACCATCTGGAATGGGGTCTGGTGCCCTCTTCTGGCCTGCAGACATACATACAGACAGAATATTGTATACATAATAAATAAATAAAAAGGTTGACCT